TCGAAGCACGACATCAGCTGAGCAACGCTGTCTTGTGTGGTGATCGAGGGGAGGTCGAGTTCGAGACAGTGAGTGAGTGGAAAAGAAAGCCACCAGGTCTTTTACTCGTCTCATTTTGGAGCAAATAGTCCTACCTTTGTTATATTTTCTCATATACTGTACCTGTACTGTATGCCGCAGTTTTTGGGCAATATATTGTTGCACTTTGTTGCTTGTGTTGTCACCAATGTATGTTGTTCATACAGGACATATACCATAGTTATCTCACTGTTCTCATGAAAAAAAGTATGGTAATACTTGAATGCTTTTGTTCTGTTGATGTTTGGTATGGACTGTCAACATATCCGTTTTTTTACATGTACCATATCTTGTGCTGACCCGGCCCACCTGTCAAATTTAGAAATCAATGTGGCCCCCGAGCTAAAAAGTATGCCATACGCAATGCTGTGTATTGTGAGTCCGATGCACAGTCAACGTGGAGAAGACATCTCTTTTCGATGGCCGCCGGATAATGTGTGGCTGATTCGCGTGTGCCCGGACGTGTGCGTGCATGTGTGAACGTTGCCGCTCACATGGCTGCCAGACGCGTCCATGCCGAGGGGCGGCCCGACGCCTTCGTCGCAGGGGGAAACACTTAGCGAGTGTTACGTCAATGGGGCACCAGCACTCTTTTCCACTTACACACGTGCGCTTTACTTAACATATCTTTACCCACTTTCTCTTGTTCTTCAGTGTCTTTCATGTGTGCTGCTCTGAAGTGACATCAGCACTGAATTGCACGGTTTTCCATGCGTCACAAGGGGATAACTCCCAATAACATTTTAAGGGACTGTCTACACACAGAAGAATCTTGCCCTTATATAAATCTGAGTCAGGCAGCCTGGAAGTACTTCTCTCCCTGTTTAATTTACACCCCGCCCGCGCCCCCCACTTCAATTGAACCCTTCGTCTTTCATTCCCGTTAGCCTGTCACGCAACTGGAAGTACGTAGTCAAGGTTTCCCTCACAATAGCTTAGTGCCACAAAAATATTTTCAAAGGGCAGCACTGTGGTGAGTGGTTAGCGTGTACACCTCACATTTCTGGGGTTCAGGTTCCGAATCCCGGCTCTGGCCTTCCTGTGTGGAGTTTGAAAGCTTTCCCTATGATTGCGTGTGATCCACAGGCCAGAACCATAATTGTTAGATTAAGTGAAAACTTTCCTGCACTTTGACCACTACCTTGTAGTACCACTTTACTTTTTATTGAGATTCTCTGTCTTCTTCTGTATAGCCAAGAGAAACATAAACTCAAATCTGAAGAAGCCATTATCACATTTACACATGGGCCAAAATTATACCAGATATACCGCACACCACACCCCTAGTACATCTTGGGCTACAGACAAATAATCATTCCCGTTCACATTCCCACCTATGGACAATTTAGAGTCTTCAGTCAAATTAACATGCATGTCGAGAACATAAAACTCAACAACAGCATTTGAAGCATTCTTGTGTTACATCTCATTACATTCGGCAAGTCTACTGAATGTTGCATACATTATCTGCAGATGCATCATGAGTGCAAATGGATAGTGTACAGCGGACATCAGGTAGTCGTGTGTGTGTGTGTCTGTGTGTGGGGGGGGGGGGGAAGAATCGTATGGCTTGTGTCAGCAGACTTCAGGTAATCCGTTTTAATGCAGTTCGTGCTGTCATGGCCATGTGTGTGCGTGTGTGTGTGTGTTCCCAGCAGACTGGAGGGGATGTCTAATTCTGGCAAATCACGAGAAAAATAAAGAAAGGCTTCTCGGTGCTCATGCTGCTGGAGCCAAAAACAAAAATTGCGCAAGCGGACATTTTCATAACACTGTTGTAAATTCGATGTGATTTAGATTATGCTCACAGAAACAAATACCAAAAATCTTAGAGCTTTTGATTCATTTGAATTACTTGCTACTGCCACCTACTGTTGAAGTGAAGGTACATTACTTTGCATGCAAGGTTTCCCAACCTCTCTTGGGCTAAGGAACATTTGACATGAGAAAAATCTCACGGCATACAACAAATGCCACAAAAGATCACAGCACAGTATACTGAAATTATGATGATGTGTGGTGATCATAATGGAAGTGGACAAGCTTTTGATTGTTCAGTCTGTCACTATACACTTTGTGTGGACAAGCTTTTGATTGTTCAGTCTGTCACTATACGTCGCTGGGATAGAGGACGGAAGGTACAATGTTTTGAGTATATAAATAATAATTTTAGGCCACTTGAGAAAAATGTGGTATTTTCCTGTAATATGGTTGTGGATCACTGGCTGTCAGGAGTAGGTGTTCTCAAGGATTCAACAAAGTGATCATCCAAAGGAAAATAAGATTTTATCTATAATACAGTAACACTCATTAAGAACTACAACATCTGAGAGGTATCCATTTATTAATATCCAGTGGGATGGAAGTGAGGCAGCAGGGCGGTCTAGTGGTTAGTAAGACTGCTTCACAATTCAAACGTTCAGGTTTTTAATCTCCGTTTGGGTCCTTTTTTGTGAAGTTGTGTTCTCCCCATCCTGAGGTGGGTTATCACCAGATACTGATTAATCGATTGAAGACTCCAAACCGTCCATGAATGGGAATTGTTGTTTGTCTATACCGTATGGCCTGAGGCTGCAGCTGGCTCACGACCAGTCCAGTGTGTAAAATGTTAAATGCTGCATTACAGTCCTTATGTATTTTTGTCTTTGTATCTCCCTTGATCAGCTCCATCAGCACTGTGTGCCCCTGTCAAAACACACACTCATGCCCGGACGTGTGCATACACTGCTGCTTTAGTCAGCAACGGTGCACACTGCAATGTGTATCCGATATCTCAGCGTCTGCACCTCCAAAACCGCATCCCTCAGGTGAATGTGTCAGTGCTGACGCCATCCCAGATATTTCCTTGTTGTCTGGAATTTTGCTTGGATGCAGATTCAAAAGTAAACTCAGTGTCAGGTTTTGCATGGTGGTGGTTGGTAGGACCCCAAAAAGCAGGCAAGGCAGGGAGGAGTCGGATGGAGTGACCAAGATGTATTTAATAAAAATACAAACAGGAGCACACTGGAAAATTACGAACTACAAGTGCTCAAACAAAGTCCTGGAAATCACAAAGAAGCCAAAGTAACAAAAGAAACCTGTGCCATAAAACAAAACGTGACAGGAGCGGAGAACACAGATACTAATACTCACACTCATAATGACCCAACAAAGACGGACAGAACTCCGGGAACTAAATACAAGCAAAGTGATGAGACGACGACACCTGGACAAGAAAGACCCTTATGTGTGTTGCCATCCACAGCCATTATTTTTTTTCATGCCTAAAGACTAATAAAAACACTTGAGAAAATATCCTGATGTAGGTTATTATTATTTGTGCATGAAAGGGTTAAGATATACCTGTAGTGGTTCACTTATTCCTATCCATGTGACCAGTAGTAAGGATTAAAATACGTTCCATATCAGATTTGCATGATGCTTTTGTCATTCATCAAGTTAATAATGAGTCTTTTATTGTGTTTATCACAGTAAGGGCAGCGCGGTGAAATATGTGGGTTGAGTTTCTGCCTCACATTCAAGAGGCTGTGGGTTTGCATTCTTCATCGGAGTTCTCAAGCTCCCCATTTGCTTGCGGGGACTTTGGTTTCTTCCTTACTCTGGTTTCCTGCCACAATCCAAAAACATGCATGTTAAGTGAGTGTGAATCTATTGTATTCCCCGATAATTTACTGGTGAAATGTCCACCTCTGTGTCCCGCCTCACGCTCAAAGTCAGCTCTCTTGAGCAACTGACCAACAGTTGAATCTACTTGTAGGGATGGGCAACTGGCGGCCAGCCACTCCCCCCAGAAGCACTGATGAAAAATGGTGAACCCTCCAGCATTGAACTTGTCCATCCCTACCCTACATCTTCAGAGATGTGCCTGTAAAGTAAGATTTTATGATGGTGATGACTTTAAATTCCAAGGAACACTCTGTAAATGCAGCAAACTTTACTCCGAAAACAGCATTTTTAGTCACTCACGTCTTGGTTTTTCAGTCCATATTTGTTGATTTGCCCAATATATGGTAGTATTATTCTAAAGAGTTCACATGACACATGGTACAAACCCTCAAAGGTACTGCTTCCGAAGGTGTAGATAACCTGTAGATGACATAGTACAAATCTTGTCTGCTGACAGACTGCTCGTTCTCATATCTTTTGTTACCCTTTAGCCACATGCAAGCTATTTCTGTCAAGTTGCCTCTGGCTGGAAGTGAATCATGTCTGATCTGCTTGAAAGGCAAAGAAAAGGGGCTGGGGGTGATTGGGGTGTCGCCATGGAACATTTACTGCATTAAAACAGCATGTTTTTACTGTTCCGCTCGTTATTCGCCATTTGATTCGCCAGAGGCATGATTGCTTTACTCCCCCTTTTTGAAAAGCCCCAATTGTTATTTGTGGTGCCAATGGTGCACCATTCCTTTTGCTTTCCTTTTTCATCCCGTATTTTTCAAGCCAATACACTCTTGTTGGCGTTGCATCAAGAAATTGCCTCTTTCCAGCCACCTCCTCGACCCAGCATGATTGCTCTGGAGCCAGGTACTGCATAGTCTGCAGACATGACTAATGTGGCTTAGGCTGATTCATAGACGCGCACATCAGCCGTCAGTGTGGAGCCGGGGGTGACACAAGAACACACAACACAACAACACACACCGTGAAGAATCAACGTAGAAATGGACAGACTTGGTGGTGCCAACAGTCACACAAACGATCATTATGAGTGTCTCTGTGTATAATGCGGGCAGTATTAATAGGCCAACTCCATTAGATGAGATCAGGCTGCTAACTGTAAATGACACATACTGCATATTTCAACATAAGGAAAATGATGCCCATTTAAATCATCAGCTATTACGTGAAGGCCAACAAAAATACTTTTTAACCCTTTCATGCACCCTGGAACCTGATAACATGAAAAGCTGTCCACTTTAGTAACCACTGTCCCTAAAAGGGTTAAATCCACAAAACCTCCTGTAATGTGGGCCAGTGTGGTTAAAGAATGGTCAGCCATCTCTGCCTCACGGTTCTGAGCAACTAAAGTAAATTAAACCATAATAAAGTCAAGCTACTCACCTTTTGAATGCACCTGACACACATAAGAGACTGGGAACAGGAAAGTGTTTTTAGATCTATTTGCCCTTTGGCATTTTAATGATAAATAAACAGATGACCATTATCGTTAAGCAACACTTGAAAGCCAACAAAAAAGGCTTTATAATTCCCCCAAATATCTGGTCTTCTCTTTTGTAAATTTGTTTGTTTGTTTGTTTGTTTGTTTTAATGGCTCGTAGTACAAAAATGTTGGTGTCCAGGGTGACAGCCTAAGTGTGAAATCAAACATCCCAATTTTGGTATTTGTCTGTTTCTAAAAATGTGTCTTGAAATGTTCTGCGATTCCTCCCCACCGCACTGTTCTTGATCCTTAGGCTATTTTGATGAAGGCATGTGACAGTATCCTGATGTTTTATGACTTGCAAAACAACACACATGTCTGCTTTTATGTGTACATTATTGTGTAGGGCAAAAGTCCTGGGACAAAATTACATTTATTTTAGTAGTTTGGTTTGCATGTACAGTACTTGAAGCAAATCATTGGCCGTATGACACATGCCTTCGAACACTACATGGTGATAATCCTTTCGACTGTGCGGGTTCAAGAAGAGTGCAGTTGCTGGAGGCAAGATGGATGTATGTAGTTGTTGTTAGTTGCTGTCTGGCACAATCTGAGAGGTAAAAGAATCACCTCACAACTCTGCACATACAACACTTGTGGGAGCGTTTTGGGGTTTTTTGGACAAAGATGTCTTGCAGTTGTGGTAGTGCCACAGTTACGGCATCCATCCATCCATTTTCAAGAGCGCTTGTGTTTGTCAAGCAAGCTGCAGCCTATCCCACTGACATTTGACAAGAGGCAGGGTATACCCTGGACTGGCCGCCAATCAGTCACAGGCCACATATACTGTAAGAAAACAACAACTTCAACTCACATTCACACCTATGGACATTTTAGAGTCTTCAATTAACCAAACATGCAAGTTTTTGAGAAAAATACCTTAAAAGCACGGGGAAAACATTTTCCACACATAAAAGCCCCACCAGAGGCTCAAAGCCGAAACTCAAATATTTGCGCATGCGCCACAAGACTCAAATGACCCACAATATATAGCAAGTGATTGCTTTTTTATGGGTATTTACAGAAGAAAAAAAGTCCAAATTTTAATTTGTGCGCCTTTAATGTAGATTCACTTTGTGCCACACATACCCGGCCAATCACTGGGGACACAAAGGCAATCAACAACCATTCAGACTCACAATCACATATAGGCACAATATAGGGTGATCACTTAACCTACCATGCATGTTTTTAGAATGCGGGAGAAAATTGGAATGCCCAGAGAAAACCAATGCAGGCAAGCAAGAACATGCAAACTCCACCCAGAGATTTAAAAAGATTGATGTTTTTCAAGCAGGTGGGATGCGCAAAAGTATATACTTGTATAAAAAAATTGTATTTGGTCTCTGTATATCACAGGTGGTGGATCTATAATGTATCCCTGACTGTAAACAGAGGTTCATTGTACTGTATTCCTGTATTGGAACCTTCTTCCACATTTTCACAAAAATGTATGGTTTCTTCTTTGGTTGACTCACCAATCCTATACAAAGTTTTGTGGGATTTTTTTTTTGTTGTTGTATTTATTGTGCGTGTGCGTGTGTGTGTGTGTGTGTGTGTGTGTGTGTGTGTGTGTGTGTGTGTGTGTGTGTGTGTGTGTGTGTGTGTGTGTGTGTGTGTGTGTGTGTGATACTGTCATTGCTTTCATTCTGTCTTTTTATGAGGAGAAATATGAATGAATGAACGAGCACCACTCCGAGTGACCACTCGTTCACTTTTACATCAATCTGAAAATACAACTTAATTGCTACACATGTGTGTGTGTGTGTGTGTGTGTGTGTGTGTGTGTGATACTGAAAACTGTATCTGTGTCTGTAACTCATTCCTAAATGTCAAAATGGCTACTGTCAAAAAGGTCATTAAAACAACAAAGCTTGTGTTGGCCTTAGACTTTTGCAAAGTAAAACAGACGCATTTGTATAATCTTAGGAGCCATCAAAGATGTATTATTCATGCAAGAATTGTGTCTCGGTTTTAATCCCTGCTGATGGCTCTTTGATTCATCGCTGCCAGCTATGAATAAATCACATTAGTCACCCCACAGTCGATACCTGCAGCTGCAGAACTGATCTATAGTTACACGAGTGTTCATATGAGTCCGCACGTTGAGTGTTTTTCAGATGCCCCAATAGCTATGTTGAACCTCTTTGACAAGGGGAAAAAAACATATCAAAATTAAATCTGGAGTGTGTATATATGGGTGTCACACTGTCTGACTCGGCATGACTAGCAGTCACGCAAAAAGTCTAGGCCAAAAGAAAAACTTCTGACACTTCAAACTGTCACAAAAGTATGACAACAAAGAACTCTACGTTCATATTTGTAATGTTTTCTTACCTCTCCCAATGACAAACATTTCGACACAGTGCTTATTGTTTGAATAAGAAAATGACAGCATTACAGATTTCAAATTGCAGCATACTGTACTCTCCAAAGTCATATGGAGAAAAAAATGCTTACATCAGACATCAGGCGCCCATCACTGTGTGTCTGGGTAGATGCATCATAATCTGTAACATCCTGCTCGACAGCAGACAATTTTCAGATTTGATCTTACAAAGCATGTGATGGATTAAATATGTAAAATGTGTTTAATTTTATCTTTGGCTTTGTGTGAGTGCGCATGTGTGTGTGTGTGTGTGTGTGTGTGTGTGTGTGTGTGTTTCTACCAGAGAAGGACACTATAAATTACAAAGAGGAAAAGTGTAACAATAACCATAGAGCTGAAATTTTAGAAAAGAAGATAAACCACTTGTTCTTGTCATGGTTGTGGGTGAGGGTTAGATTTGGGCTAGATGGGAGGTATACCCTGGACTGGTCACCAGCCAATCCCATGGCATAAATGTCATATTTATTTGACTTACTTGTTCTTTTCAACAGATGGTCAATGGATTGCACTTATGTAGCACTTTGTCTTCGCCAACGGGTGCCCAAAGTGCTGAACAAAGTCTCACATCCAGACTTAAATACATCAATGGATGGCTACTGCCATGCAAGGCGCTGCCAAGCCGACAGCCAGCAAACCAGGGTTCAGTGTCATGCTAATGGATGCTTTGGCAGTGGAGAGTCAGAGACAGATTCAAACCGGCGAGCCATCAGTGGACTCTATGTACTCCGGTATCCTCCCACATTCCAAAAACATGCATGGTAGGTTGATGGAGCACTCAATATTATACCTTGGTGTGACTGTCAGAGTGAATGGTTGTTATTTGTCTATGTTTGCCCTGCAATTGACTGAAGACGGCTAGGATAGGCTCCAGCACGTCCGCGACCCTCGTTAGGATAAGCGGTTTGGACAATGGATGGATGGAGGCTTAGGAATCACAACACACTTCGATGAACTTCGATGAGGCACACAATTTGTACTGCACTCTGGGAACACAGGAATTTAGTCATATCTCTTTTCAGCTGCATAAAGTTTGATGTTATGGAATGGGAAAATATCGACCTGTACACGACCCATTATTGATGAGCGGATGGATTTCAGGAAGTCACCTTGAATTGCTAAAAGGAGCATCTGACCAGTGGCTGGCTCCATTTCCCACAGTGGGCACATCTATGGTGACACCTGGACCTTTGGATGCAAAATAATACAGTAGTTGGTAAACAAAGCTCAGTGGATGCCTGATCAAGGACACTGCTGCATACACGATAGTCAGCAGAGGGAAAATAGTGTGCAATATGAGTTCATGTAAAGGAGGATACTATTAATGTGATTCAGACTGTGATTGATTTACATTATCAAAGGTGACGTAACCTGATTTGGTATGAAATTCTGAACGCGCAGCTACCTAAGTTAATGCAGTGTTATTCCTTCATCATCATTACAGAAAGTATTTCTATGAAAACCATTACCCCATAAATCCAAAATCATCAAATGAAAAAAAGCTTGCTCTCTGTACGGACCCAAAAAACGTTGTACCAGATAGTGTAAACTTCAGCACTGATTGGCCAGGTCACATATTACCCCACACTGCCATCATGTGGCTATATATATTGAACCACTTTGCAGAAGATTATTTTACCGCGCCTCGATAGCTGATCACATTTGGAACCACGCCCCCCTCTTACATCTGATTGGAGGCCACCAGGGCGCTTATGTCTCAAAAGGCCAATCGTGTGACTCTGGCCCATGTCAACAGGGCTTCTTTTTTCAGTGCCTAGTTGTTATTTATAGTACAGTAGTGTGGGGAAAAGAGGGTTGCTAATGATGGCTTATAACCCTGATTGGGAGAGCAAACCTGATGGTGTATGCAAATTAAGTTATGATGTCATCAATTTGCGGACTATTTCCATTTTGTTCAATGTTTATTCCTCAAGTTCCTCCTTCCTGTCTCGGCCTGCCGGATTGTATCAGTTGTAACAGTACTACCTTTGCAGAGCAGAGGAATGTGGACAATAAAGAAATTGAATTGATTTAAAAACACACCTTTACAAGAATTGTAGTTCAGTCCCATGAATAAATATGTATGTACATTGAAAAAAAAGCATGTCATATTTTACTACAACACATTACATTGCGGGCCTCACAGATGAGAAGTCCTGAGAAGAATCTGAGCTCACATGTTGTCCCTATCCTAGTTTTCTCCAGATACTGTATTCCACTTTTCTCCTATATTCCAAAAACATGCATGTTAGGTTAATTGAAGACTTTTCTGCTCCCTGATGACTCTCTTGTATCACCACTTTTCTTCTTAAAATGTGATTCTCTGTCTTTACCACATTTATACATCCAATTAAAAAAAAAACAAATCACAATAAAGTGGCCAGACTGTAAATTTCAATGACGTAGAGTGAGTGTGAATGGGTGTTTATTTATATGTGCCCCGCAATTGCCTGCCAACCAGTCCAGGGTTCATTCCAAAGTCAGCTCACATAGCTTGCAGCTCACCCCAACCTTAATTAAAGAAAATTGATGTCTACTGTAGATACATGTGTACAATGCAGTGCATGCAAGCTAAAGTAAATAAGGTATGAGAAACTGCTGCAATGGCTCAATATTCCAAGCTGCCATAATAGACGTACTGTTAAATGATGCCCAAATAGTTTCAATTAAAGCTGCGCATTATGATATGTTCAAAAATTATTCCAGAATTGAATACTAAAATGAAGGGGGAAAAAGTCTTTGTGATGAGAGGTTGCATAATGTACATGCAATTTTTTTAATGCTGATTTCTCAACCCTAAATTAAAAACTTTTATGGGGTATTCTCATTAAATTGATGGTGTTCATCTGGCTGAGAGAAGTCGAACAGGTGGATGCACTGTTACTGATGTGACAAAGGCATAAAACACGGTTTATGCTTTGGGAAGGCAGCCTGTGTGTGAGCTCATTTATGATCATTTAACTGTAAGTTACTGTGCGTGCCTGCCACATCCACCGCTTTACGGTGAGAGGTCAGTGCACATGGATGCCTTCCAGAGGAGAAATATGGCTTCCAATGACATTTCGCTGGGTCTTGTTTGATTGTGATGAATGCCACGGGAAGCTCACGACAGACAAAGGCATTAGTGCAGTGGTTCTTAACCTTATTAGAGGTAGCAAACCCAACCAGGTCATATGCACATTCATCGAACCCTTCATTACTGAAAAATAAAAATTCAAGAAGTCTTCCTTCAGTTTTGCCGGTGTGAGACTAGAGTTGCTCAACTTGGCATGACACATCATGCAGATAGGATGCTGAGTCCCATCACGTTCCGTGAATCCACGTGGTACATATTCGTCCGACCACTTACTAAGCCAACTAAATTTCCCGCAGCACTGATTGGATAAGCAATGTAATGTGATCATCCAGTCAGTGATGGCCAAGCGGGCGTCATAACTAATTGACATGTTGAGTCGGGTATGTCTTAACCTCCATGGCAGAGGCTGCGTCAAACCCTTGAGACGGGTTCACCAAACTCAGGTTAAGAACCACTGCATTAGTGGCTCCATTAGGTATGCAGTCTATCGTTTTTGTTACTTTATTCCGCCTCAAGATGTCATGGGATATACAGCAGGAGAGACAGAATAAAATTGCTTGCACATGGAGTTTGCGGCAAAGAATGGTCTAAATAGGACTTGGAATATATCATTTGGGCACAATATAAACTAAACCGTCTTTGCTTTGCATAAAAACATTTAGCTGAACAAAGCCATGGTTACAAATACTTATTACAATTATTTTGTTTTGTTTTTTAACCTTTGAAATACTAGTCATACATTTTTACCTTTAACAGCACCATGATGCAGTGGACGCTCTGAAACACTTTCTCCATAGGACAAATGAACATAGTTTTGCACGGTGTCCCTCAAGTCATGACAGGTAGCAATTGATGGCAATGTGTAGTTATTGAAAACAATTAGTATATTTTTTGTCATTGCAGTGTGCAAAGAAACTGGGGTGTTCAAGTTCATCGAGTTCCTGTCAATCTTGGCAAGCGCATCAACATTGGCATCACACAGAAATGTTCCATTTCAGTAAAAAAACATGCAGTTAAAAATGCAATTTCTCAAAGATTCTGCATGCATATTTTCTATGTTTTCTAGACTTTAGACGTTACCATATAACATACATCCTGTATGTTATATGATCATTTGTGTCACTATCATAAAAGCATTTTTTGTTATCTCGTTTTCATTGCTTTGGGTCAGAACCACGTATAAGAGAGTAAAACAAACATAACAGTTACTGCTGCAATCACATGCCTTTGGATGGCAACAGTGGCTAGAAGATTAGATTTGGCCTCCACACTCCGAACAGAATCATTACATAATGCGTCTGCACCCACGGTTTTTCTTCTTCTCGTTTTTGAATGAAAAACTTTATTGTGCGAATGTCAAGTGTGTCAAGCATTCACATGACAATTGTGCATCCAAAAATGTGTGTGAATGTTAACTCAAGTATTGAAACTAATGTTTGTTTTTCTGCAACAATGCTGAATGCCTCGGCCTTTCTATGTTTGCATATTCTCCTTATGCTCCTGTTTTTTTTTCCTTTCCTTTTGTTGTAGGTATTCCACTTTTCTCCCACATTCCAAAAACATGCATGTTAGGTTAATTGAAGACACATTTGCCATAGCTGCGCATGTTAGTGTGAATGGCTGTTTGCTTAAATGTGCCCCATTGCCTAGCTACCAGTTCAGAGTAAAACCTGCCTCGTGCTCACAACCCCAATGTGGACAAACACTTCCATATATCTTTCTTTATCTACACTGGGTTGGAAAATGCTTCTGTAAGGACTTGGGCTTTTGAACCAGAAGTGTTTCAAGGTAGCATCACCACCTCCCAAGTTTGCTTGCGTGCCTGCATGTGTGTGACGTGCACTAAAAATAGTACAAATACTACATTATAAGAATGGCGACTGTAAATTCAGTCCTCATGAGGAATTCTAATCAGAACATAATGTTGCGTCTTTGGGTTTGTCCCATTTGGGAGTCATCACAGTGAGTCAATCGCATGATTCGTCTAGCACCATTTTTATGTGAGAAGCCACTTTTTAAAAATGCGTATTTACTTATTAGGGTGAATGTTGGGAATTGAAAACCGCGGCATCTGAATGAAAGGCAACAGAATGTTGCAAAATTAGTACTGCATATGAGAATATAAATAAAATGAAGCTTCTGAAGGCATGGAGAACAAACTGTGCAAAATTCGTTTTGAGTTCCCTAAATATCATATCCAAGAAGATCAAAGGCGAGATCATGGATAGAAAAAAAACAAGGATGGCACAAGCACATAAGAGTATCAGATCACAGCACTTCCAAAGGTCGGCTCGGTCTGACGTCATCCCAAAAAATACTCGCAGTCGCTAGGGGGCATATTTGCATTGTTTCCCTATACCCCCCATTATTATTATAGTCCACAATTCATCGTGTTCTTTGGCATTTCAGCTAACCTAACAGTATTTAAACGTATTTTCATCCATCCATCCATCCATTTTCCAACCCTCTTATCAAACGGAAGTAATTTGCAGTGCTTAACTTCACAATCAATAGACAGCAAACTGAATTGATTACGTCATTACACGTATTTACAAGCAAGCAAACAAACAAACAAACAAACAAACAAAAACCAAGCACAGAACTAATGAGTAAATTCACGCTCCACAAAAAAACTCGTTCGATGTATGCTTCAAAGCATCAAATGTTGTCTAGGGGTTTCGTTGCCTCCAACGTTCCCCCAACGACGCACAGGCGCTGCAAAGTGCGAATGGCTCGGCTCTGTGTTTACTTCCGGACCTCGATGTGAGAGTTGCTCGCAGGCAGAGAAAGCAGCAGCGGCAGGCGGCTTCGCTGGACCTTCAAGCTGTCAGCTAGCAGTCATACGAGCTTTCATGACAGAGGTTACTGGGTTTGGCTCGACGGCATCCCGACACTCAAGTCTTCATTCAGCGCACCGGTCCGGAGCCCCTCGGCTTGCGCGCCCCAACCCCGCTCTGCGTGCTGCGTTCCCCGGCTCAAAGTCGCTCAATACTTCCAGGCTGCCCCGCTGAGCAGCTGCCTGTGATAGTGCCTCTTCATGCTCGGCGCTAGCAGAGCAGCACAAGGACGGTCACTCGGAGCGTGAGCGCCGTTCTTGGTCTGGACGGCCGGGGTGGAGAGTCAACTGACCCCCGGAGAGAGCGACGGGACTCGGCGACGCGAGGCAGTCGGCCGGATCTAGTCGAGGGGGTCGCCTCCGACTCCTGGCGTTATCCCCTACTAGCTAGCCTTAGCTAAGCTAGCTCCAAACAACACCATGGACTGGTTAATGGGGTGAGTACACATCGCTTCCCCTCATTTTACACGTCACCTGCTCCCAGTTTTATTGCTGACACTTTGGGCTTGTCACTGCTTTATTTGTCACAATTTCGGTTGACTGTCGTGTTGCATTCTCTCACATTCTAGCCCGGCGAGGCTAGCTCGATAGCAAAGCTTGCAGTGGGTGGGCTTCACCTGCAATGATAAAGCGACCAAACCAAGGACCGAGAGTTTTTATTTTCGTATCCTTGCGGCGTCTTGCCCTCTGTCCTAAAACGACAGCACCCACATTAGGTCCTGTCTTTGTCATAGACAGTTTGCTGCACGGTGTGCTTATTTATAGCAATGATTAACACAGCAAAGTGGCTAACATTAGCAGCGTCCCGCTAAGGGAGCTATGCCCAGCTGAGTGCAAGGTGCTCCTTCTCAGGCTGCCTCTCTTCGCCGGTGGTTCTCAACTGCCGTCACCTTAAGACCCGCAATTGCAAATTGTCGACGCATGTTTATACAAGTTAAAAACAAAGACAATGTACTTTTAAAAGTAGCCGATGAAAACACAAAACATGCTTGCATTTTCAAAGTGCCTTTCAGAGCATTACTAATCTGAGGACTGCATCTCCAAAAAATGAACTCAGTATAATTAAACATGACAATTGCAAAAAATACAGCCAAAAAATTTCACGTATATCTTGGCCCTAATCTCTTCTTTTTAGAAAAGTCCCTGACCTGACATGGTTTGTGTAGTCCAGAAGTGTGCTAAGTATAAATACATGCCCCGTTACACTACAATAATGTTTCTGATGCATGGCTGTCAAAATATGCTTTTTTTTCAAATTAAGGAGGAATCTGACACAGTATTTTATTGTACAGTGCGTTCTTAGTTCAATGGCAGTGACGTATACCAACATTGTACTTAAGTCTGAGCATGTTGTAGACCAGCGATCATCAACCTGTTTGAGACAGAGAGCTACTTCTTGGGTACTGATTAATGAGAAGGGCAACCAGTTTGATACACAACTTCAGAAATAACACATTTCCTCAAGTAACTTTTCATAATATTGTTATCGCATGTCATTTTTAATAGATAACAAATCATGATACAGCAATACTTTTCAAAATAACCAGGAAGCAGCACCATAATAACATGTACAACTTAAAAAAAATAAATGTCATCCAGTGTTCATATTTTCAAATGACCACTACTACAACATTCCTTGAAGATCATACTGTAACATCACTGGTGAGCTCTTTTTAAAACAGGAGCGGGCTACATTACCTGGTGCCTTAGGCCATCACCAACCATATCTTTGTCCAGTAAGAAAGTCACAATTACAGTTAATTTGAACTTAAGTCTACTATTCAATCATACTCATTCAGGTATTTGAATGGATAACAGTAAGTACGGCGTTCAGCTGAGTGTGCCTTCTTGTGCCACATGACAATGTATTCATTGTGCGCTGTTCACAACCCTAAACTGTCATAGCTCTTACTGTCACAAACAAGAGGACCCACTCATTTTTTTTACCTACCCGTCCACAACCCAGACGAAATGGGTCCGTGACCCACCTTTTGGTCCCAACCAACCAGTTCAGAATCACTGCTCCACGCTACTGCTGTCAGGAGCCATGCTAACCCACCCAACGTGGTTTCCCTGAGACCTGTCAAAAGTCCTGTTTTGTTTGACTCAAGGAATGACTGGCTGAACGACATATTTAACAAAACAATGGACCCATTTTAATATCGTAAACTAGTTTTGAGTACCTTCTTAGTGTGCCGTCTTGAATTGTGTCTGATACCATTATATTTTTACTCATAATTTTGGGTAAGGTGTGTCCATGCTGAATTTGTTCCACTACGGAGTAACAATTGTGGGCCATCATTTTCCCGTTTGACCAGTTATTCAATAATTTAAATGTAATTGTGGTTATCACTGTTAGATGTGGAAGAGTAAGTGTTGAGTCAATTTGTTGTGCTGGCTGTGTAGAGTATTAGCAGCGTGCGTGTGCGTGTGCGTGTGTGTGTGTGCGCGAGCGAGCGTGCGGGCTCGCACCACAGAGCAGTCAGGGCAGGGCAAAGGAGGGGTGGAGGCCTGCTGTCTGGCCTGTTTCTCCACCATGTGACATTTTGGCTGAGAGATAACGCTCTGCAAAACACATGCAACCACAATATCAGCGAGTTCACACCAGTTCCATTTTTTATTCGTGTTGCGCATTTTGGGAATAACCCAGCTGCTGGGGGGCAGTGCCCTCCCCTGGGGGTGCACTGTTCCCCAGTGCCGGTCCCAAGCCCGGAGAAATGGGGAGGGTTGCGTCAGGAATGGCATCCGGCGTAAAACTTTTGCCAAGACGACCATGCGAGTTGGTAGGACGGTTTACAGGGGCGGATGGAAATTACTGACTCGCTGTGGCGACCCCTGAATTGGGACGTGCCGAAAGGAGAAGAAGAAGAAGAAGTTGCGCATTTTGGGAATCACAAAAGTTATTTTATATTTTATTTTTTGGTGGACACACAAGGTCACTTAGAATCCAAACAAAGATTACCTGCTTGGTTGGGTTTCTAATTCTTGCCTGCAGCAACATGTCTCTCAAGTTTTAAAAGGCAACCCGTCTTGTAAAAGTGACGCATGTACTTTGATACTCACTCGCTGAATTTTAGGGCATGACAAGTGGCATCAATACAAGGGCAATTGGAACGATTTTCGTTGATTCAAGGACATTGTCAGCTATTCTGTTGAAAAGATT